GTCTCCTGCTGCTTCTGTCTGTCTCCTGCTGCTGCTGTCTGCCTCCTGCTGCTGCTGTCTGTCTCCTGCTGCTGCTGTCTGTCTCCTGCTGCTGCTGTTTGTCTCCTTTCGTGCTGTCTCTTTTCTTCATTCTCTGTCTCACTCTGCTTTGCCTTTCTGTCTCCTTTTTTTCTGTCTCTTTTTATTATTTATATGTGTCTCCTTTTTGTCTCTTTCTTCTCTCTCTGTGTCCCTCTGTCTCTGTCTCTGTTTGTTTATTTATTTTTCTCTTTCTATCTGTCTCCTTGCTGCTGTCTCCTTGCTGCTGTATTAAGCCACCTGTCTCCTTTTCTTTTTTTTAATTTATTCTCTTTTTATTTATTTTAATTTATTTTGTCTCCTTCAGGCCAAAGCAAAGTATAAACAAAAAAGGAGACAGTTGTCTCTCTTCTTTCCCCCGCAACAAGCCCCACGCTGATGCATGCGAGGCTGGCAGCCCAGCAGCAGCAGCAGCAGCAACAGCAGCAGCAGCAGCAATTTCAGCAGCAGCAGCAGCAGCAGCAGCAATGTCAGCAGCAGCAGCAGCAATGTCAGCAGCAGCAGCAGCAGTAGCAAGGGCCAGTGTAACACCCGTAGCAGCAGCACAAGCAGCAGCTGCTGCAGCGCCAGCTACAGCAGCAGCAGCAGCAGCAGCAGCAGCAGCCGCACGCATGCATAAGGATGAGTGCATGCACCTTGTGTGTGCATGCGCTGCAACCGCTTAGACTAAAAGCCCCACCACAACTCCTTGGGGATCAGAATGCAATCACTTTGCTGCAGCAGCAGCAGCAGCTGCTGCTGCAGCACCAGCTGCAGCAGCAGCAGCAGCTGCTGCTGCTGCAGCAGCTGTAAGTTGCTTTGTATTTTCTGGCTGTTTTTCGTGTCTCTTTCTGTGTCTCCTCCCCCCCCCTTCGGTGTCTCCTTGTGTGCTGTTGTGTGTGAGTCGTAGCTAGCTAGAGCCCCAGCTAGCTAGCCACAGACAGCTAGCTAGCTACAGCTAGCTACAGCTAGCCGCAGCTAGCTAGCCACATCTAGCTACTGCTACACAGCCTGTACAGTGCTCTAACTAGGGCCTCCTCTCTGTGCGCACACAAAGGAGACAGACTGTCTCCACAGACGCTGCAGCTAGCTACAGCTAGCTGCAGCAAGCTACAGCAAGCTACAGCTAGCTTCGGCTAGCTACAGCTAGCTGCGGCTCGCTAGCTACAGCTAGCTACGGCTAGCTAATTACAGCGAGATACAGCTAGCTAGAGCAGGCCACCACTAGCTAGTTACAGATAGCTACAGCTAGCCACAGCTAGCTACAGCTAGCCACAGCTAGCTGCAGCTAGCTACAGCCAGCCACAGCTAGCCGCAGCTAGCTACAGCTAGCTACAGCTAAGCATGCAGAAGGCTGCCTGTCTCGCCGTGGTGTACAGACACCGCATTAGTAACCTGCGCATGCATAACAGAATAAACTGCATGCAGCAGTGGGGCTTTGGTTGTTGTTTTGTTTGTTTTTTTGTTTTGTTTTTTTGTTTTTTTTTTGTTTTGTTTTTTTTGTTTTGTTGTTTGTTGTTGTTTGTCTACACCCCCCGCTGTCTCCGTTCCCTGTTCGTATCATCACAGCCTCAGGTGGAAGAAATCTGCTGCTGCTCGGGTCTGCTGCTGCTGCTGCTGCTGCTGCTGAACTGCTGCTGCTGCTGCTGCTGCTGCTGCGGGGTCTAGACCCTAACCCTTCTATCTAATTCGCTTTTGCATGCCGCATAAAAAACCCTCGCCGTTGACATCCTCTGATACTTATGAATTTGTGCCGTCAAGGGTTTAGGGTTTAGGGTTTAGGGTTTGGAGCGCATGCAGTGAGGCCTCAGCAGGCCCCAGCAGCAGAACTAGTTTTTTTTTTTCTATTCTCTTTTTTTTGTGGTTTAGATAAACAAAATAAAAGGGTTTTGCATGCAAGTTTAGGGTTAAAAATTAGGGTTTAGGGTTTAGGGTTTAGGGTTTAGGATTTAGGGTTTAGGGTTTGGGTGACCAGTGGTTTGAGGCGGGCTCGCGATGCGCAAACCCTAAACCCTAAACCCTAAACCCTAAACCCTCGATATCTGGTTGTATGTTTTTTAGTTTTGTTTTTTTATTTTTCATGTAAGTTTGTGGGTGTGCAAATGCCTGCATCTAAACCCTAAACCCTAAACCCTAAACCCTAAACCCTAAACCACAGGCCGAACTGGCTTTCAGGGGTTTAGAGACCAAAACCCTAAACCCTAAACCCTAAACCCTAAACCCTAAACCCTAGACATCTGTGCACGTCCTCTCCCCTTTTCCTTGTCTCGATCTCACTGTTTGAAGGGTTTAGGGTCTGGGGAGAATACTGTGCTTTGGGGATTGAGGGTTTAGGGTTTAGGGTTTAGGGTTTAGGAATGGAGGGCCCCCCTTGGGGTGTCGCTGCACCCTCGGCGGCTGGGCAGTTTCCTGAGTGTAGATCATCTGCAGCAGCAGCAGCAGC